TTGAAAACCATCGTCCTGCAAATTTCGCATTGTTGCCCGATGTTACTTCGAAACGAGGCTAACGCGCAAAAATTCGCGTACGTGGAAGATGCGCTTGCGCATCTTACGTATATCTCATAGTTATCTGTCGCGCGGATAGAACCTAATCTATGGTCGTAAATCGTTTTCGGCTTCAATTATTATGACCTCCGATCATTCCGCTGTTTAAAAAAAAAAAAAAAAAAAAAATACGATCAGCATATGATTTGCTGTCGACGGCCGACGTGAGATTTCAACGAGATTGATACTTGAACGATTTATACGTGAAACAGTGGAATGCATCTTCGCCGCCGTGAAATGATAAATTGTGCAAACGTGACCCGGTCGCTTTCATTTCATTTCATTCTTTTGTCTGCGGTGGTAATAATTTCAAACTTGCCGCTTCGAGTGCTCTACCCTCTTTTCCACGTTCCGTGCCGTGGCTTAAAGAGGATGTTTCCTCGGCGGAGGATTACGAAACCGGTGGAGATTACGGAAACCGTGTATCCGATACGATACACCGATTGTTCTCTAGCAACGCAGCCATCCATTTCTTCCGGAAATGCAGAAAAAGATAGCCCTCCGTTCGAAAATCTCGCGTGGACAAATGAATTAAAACGAATGCAGTAATAGTACACCGCGCACATGTCCGATCAAATAAAACGACGAAATTCTTTTTGATCGACTACGAAACGAAAAACTGAAATCGTTGGCGTAGCATCGCTATTAAGTTCACCGAACTTGTCGATTCGAAAGCTCGAGTTGAACAGGTTCTCATAAATCTGGATCAAATCTGACAATAAGATTCGTTTCTTGAAGGAACGTAAAGTGATGAAAGAAAATCAATATCTGAGTGCAGAGAATGTACGAATTAATACTATTCGATGTTATTCATTCTGGGAACAAATCACGATGGAATCGTAGATTTTCACCCAATTTTAAGATATTAGGATAATATGGGACTTAACGATGAAACAATAAAAAAAAGTTTCGAACTCTTTTACATATGGTTTTACATATCTCTTCTTTTGCAATTTGCCGGAAAACAAAGTAAGAAATCCCATTGATTTTTTTCTGGAGCTTATTTTTTTTTATCCTTTTTTTTTTGCCTTTTTTCATTGGACAAATGAAATCTATCTCATCCGCAATCTTTGTGAGAAATTCTGTTCACTGAATCCACGCCAGAAGGATATAGATTTGTGCAAAACAAACGAGTAATTTTCTTCATGGTCGCTCTCGTCGTCTATAACGGCACCTTCGTCAATTTCATCGCTTGAACGATCAATTTTACGCGTTTCCTTTTAATGGGTTAATGCTATTCTCTTGCTTTTCATTACCTTGATTTTACCTTTTTTTATTCGATCTTTCTTTCAGTCTGTCTTTGTAGGATGACGAAGCTCAGCTCGAAGATAATTCAAAAACCACTCGTTTTCTGCCCGATCTTCGTAAATCAAAATATCTATTATTCATGTTAAGATAATATGAATAATAGATATTTTGATTCATAATATGAATAATTTCATATTAAGATATGAATTAAGATATTAAGATATTATCAAGATAATATGAATAGTAGATATTTTGATTTACATGAATAATATCTATTATTCATTAAGATAATATTCAGGTAGCTTGGTTTCGATTTTTTCGATTAAGGCAGGCTTTCTATCAAGAGGCTATCAAGGCTACCAATTCTTCAGGAGCAAAGTCGATGTTTTTTATGCAACGTAGTGTTCTAGAATTTTGTTGAAAAACTTCGCCGCTTTTTCATAATCTGCTTTAATTGCCAATACCGATCTTTATCTCATTCCTTTCTTTTTTTTTTCTTTTTTTTTTTTTAGTGGAATCAAGTTTAAAAAAATGAAGATAATTGAGTAATTGATAATCTTATATGAGACCTGTCCACAATAGAAAACAATGTCTCATATTAGGAAACTATGACATAAGACTATTCAATAGTTGAAAAATTAAAATGTTAAGCTTCGCTGCCTGTACTGTGCAATAGTACTTGAGAAAATGATTAAACACTTAACCACCTATTGAAGATATTTATAATGGAATAAGAATCTTTCGAAAATTCCTTCCGACGTGATCGCAGGCTAGCATCTATTTCCTGGAGGCGTTCAACGGTTTTCAAACACCAACGTGACGCAGACGAAACAACTGATAAACGTTGACGAAGAAAAAGAAACATTGCGATCACGTTCGACGATTCCACACAACGGCCAGATAAGCCAGGGTCTCATATTAGTCGATTTTGCCCTACGCGCGATGCAATTTATCGTTGAATACGAATCCGAACAGATTGAGAGTACGCGAACGTCGTGCACAATTACTCCCTCTACTGCTCGTTTTTTCTCCTTCAATATTCCCCCTCACCTCTTCTTTCTTTTCTCTCGTTATTTTCTGGGCGTGACGTGCGGTCGATTCGTAGAGCGCAACGCACAAAGGGAACTTTATTTTTAATTTCAATGACATTACGCAACCTGTAATTCGTTGGGAGGAAATAATAATAATAATTCCTTGTACGTAACAAAGCATCGAATGGTTCATTGAACCATGCTCCTTTCTCCGAGTATATATTCGTCGAGCGATCCCGCGTCCCGGCGAACAGCGTATCTCATCGATTACACATTGTTAAGCCGATCTACATTGTCGAGTCGTTTCGCAGGCCATCGAGGTTGCACTTGCACTGGCGCGTACACGCCGGTTTTATATTTAGCCCCCCTCCCCGGCCACTTTGAAACTTTCTGCAACTTTGTTTCGGAAACAAACAAACCGGCCGATACGGCTGCATATAAATTGCAAATCACGAGCCTTGTCGGCGAATATCTCTTTCGTCGGCCGTTTCAACACCTCTCCTTGCATCCTGTTGCACGCATCCTGTGTGCGAGACACAGGGCCTTCGAGGAGGTTAATCGGAGCCAGTTATCGGCGATCAATCGCTTACTAACTCTCCGCGCGAATGTATCTGAACGATTGCTATTGATATTGATGTTGACAGAGTTAATTCTTTTAATAATAATTCTTATGAACGGGGGCACAACGCGCCCGATAGATCGGCTTTTATCTACTTGCAGTAGTGTAAACGTGCAAAAAGAAGGTCAGTTAAGTTTCACTTAGTATCGAAATTAAGTGATCGACATTTTCGGAGTTGGAGAGTCGAGTCGATACAAGCGGCAAATATTTAAACAGGAAATCCACGTGGAGATTGAACAGCAAATGTATGGCACGTTGTTGTAAACACGGTTGAAATATATTGTTACGTTCTTTAACAAGTGATTCAAGATTCACGGTTTGCAATTCAGCTTGTTAATTCGTAATAACAGTTTGCAGGTCAGCTTATTAATTCGTAATTTAAATTTACAGTTTGTAAATACTCGTTTATTAAATTCGTGCGCGCTGGTGCAGTTTCGATCTTGAAACGAGCGCGTAAATGACTCGAAACTGCGCTGACGATTTGTAATGTATCGAATCGAACGTTGCGAAAGTGGATTCGCGCTCGTTATCGAGAAATGAAACTGCAATGTTCCACGCCTTCGTTCAACCCCGTTTGTTTCCTCGAGATATCAAAAGTC